TGTGTGTGTGTGTGTGTGTGTGTGTGTGTGTGTGTGTGTGTCTCTGTGCGTATTAGGTGGACTCCATGATTTACACTCACTCAGCAGTGTGCATGGGGATGGGATGGGGGTGCCCAGGACCCTGGGCCCCAGGCTCCTCTTTCCAAGGTCCTGACAGCTCTCTTCCTTCCACCCTAGGTGGAGGCCGTCCTTCACCCCCAATTCCTGGCAGAACTGCTCTCCCCAAAACCAGGGATGGATCTCTTGGCTCTAATGGAGGAGCTGGAGCAGGAGGACAGGCTCACCCCAGATCAGGTACCAGAGGACAGAGGGACACCAGGTAGAAAAAGGAGAGCGGGACAGCACAGTGGACAGGGGGATGGAGCCCAGGTAGACCAGGGAGGCCAAGACACTGGGTAGACCAGGGAGAGTGGGACACCTGGGAAATCAGGGGTAGAGGGACACCAGGTTGACGGGGGGTGGGTGGTAGGACACTGGATAGACCAGGGAGGATGGGACACCAGGCAGATCAGGGAGGGAGGGACCCCAAGTAGACCAGAGTGACAAGAACACCAGTGACCTCTCAGCTTCTCTGCCTCCCCTAAGTCACCCTACTCGCCCCCTTCCCTCCCGACACCTGACACAGAAGAACTCATGTCCACCCTCCTTCCTCCCAGCTGGTGGAGAAGCGCCTCAAGGCCTGGAAGGAGGACAAGGGTGAGGAGGCAGTCCCTGGTCCTGGAGCACCTACACTGGGGTCCAGTACTTCTGAGTCTGTGGCCAGACAAGATGCAGAGAAAGATGACGATGGACCCCAGGAGGGGATCAGCTTGGAGACCCATCTCCCACAGAAGGTTTCCCAGGACTCTGAGGAACACCGCAGAGGACTTGATGACATTCTCTGGCCTAAGGACACTGCTGTCTTCCCAGGGCATGTGGGGCCACACCCAATGAGCACTGCTGGGCCAGCCTCTCCTCCCCAGGGACACACACTCTCTGATCCTTGCCTGGGGACAAGAGGAGCCTCAGATGGTATAAGCGTCTCTCCTGTCAGGGGGATGCACTGGCCAGCAGATGGGTCCAGCGAGGACGAAGAGCAGCTCCCCAGCCTGGCCTTCTTCATGGCCTCCCCGCACAGCCTGCTGCCCTGGGTGCCAGCCCTGAGCCCTGCGCCCACCTCGGGCCGTCTCCGTCCTGGAGGTTGCAGGCCCCGGGGAGCAACCAAGGCCCGACCTGCACAGAAAAGAGGCCTGAGCTCAGCTGCCCATCTGCCTTCCAAGGCAAAGAAGCGAGATGTCATTGGAGGTCCCATCCCTACTAAGAAGATGAAACTGGGGCCGGAGTTTGGGGTTTCTGTAGGGCAAGCCCTGGCTTTTGGACTCAGAGCATAGGAAGAAGTGGCATTGCAGCCAGGAAGGGTGTGGGGGCCTCTGTGTGCCAGCCTTCGAGGTGGGCCTCGACTAGGTGTTGCGCTGTCTGTAGCCTTCACCTCAAAGAGACCAAGGCCACCTTCAGTCCTGATTACCTAGTTGTTCCTTAGATTTCGGGGGATGTGGGTGGGTAGACATATTTGGGGATTCTGGGGGTATGGAGGCTTGGGAGAGGGCAGGACATTCACACTGACCCTCATATGTACATGGAATAAAGACTGTTTCATTGGAAGTGCTCTCAGGGTCCTGCTCTCTGCCTCAGTGGAGGGAGGATGGAGAGGGTCCCTGATGGGGAGGAGCCAGGTCCCGCTGCCCAGGTGGTGGGAGGAAGCGGCCTCCACATTCTGGTGATTCTGGGAGCGACAGACTCGGACACCTCGGTGCCCTCTTCCTCATGCCTGTCTTACGTGGACTCACTGGCTTGGATGCTCCCTCTGAATATTCCTTTTTCTGATTGCCTTAAATACCGTTTGATGCGTAGTTGCTCTAGACCGGTAACCAGTTTTCTAGAGTTGACTCTGGGCCCAGCGCTTCCCTGAGAGAGGCCATTGGATGGGGCTGAAATGTCCGTCAGGAGGCTTGGGCTTTTCCTGCGGGCAGCGGAGGGGGTGCAGGGTCCTTCCTCTGCTTTCTGGCAGGAAAGTCCTGTCCAGCTGCCTGAGGGGAACCACCTCGTTGTGGCCCTGGGGACTGACCTCGGGGTCTCAGGGTCTTGCCGGGGGTACATAGCACTACTCTTCCCTTCCCACTGAGGACTAGCCATGGAGTGGAACTGAGGTAGGTACAGAATCCACTCTCACCGAGGACAGTCCCTCCCCCATGCACCATAGCCTCCTGTCACCCGCATCACCAGCCCACCTGGAGCCATGTGGGTCACAATGTCTGGTGGCCCCTGGGAATGGACAGGCCCCTCACTTGTTGATGGGTTGGCACTGATGTGGCCTCTGGTGCCTGGAGGGACTGTGGGGCTGGGGTGGGCAGGTGGGCATTGGAGGGGGGACATCTGGACCTATTGGGGGCAGGTGAGAGTGTGATTAAGAGACAGACAGGGGAGGAGCTGAGTTGGAAGAGCATGCCCTGAGGTTTCCAGGACGGTCCCGCCTGTTTTTACAGGACTGACCCCTCTGGATCTATGAGCTGAGAAACCCCATAGAGTTCAAGAGCTGCCTGGGTTATGTCACCTGGTAATGGAGGACCCTGGGTGGGGGTGACCAGCTACACTTTGGAGGGAGATACCCGATGGTGGGAGGGAGAGAGTGTGAGGAGGAAACAGGCAGGGAGGAGCTGAGAGGGAGGGGCACGCCCTGAGCTCTCCAGGACTGTGCCCTCCACCTCTCTACAGGACTGCTCCCCTCTGGCCTGTGCGTGGCCTCTGCAGCCCATCCTTCAGAGTCTCTGAGCAGGCACACACACGCACAAGCACCACCTTGGCTCCCTCTAAGCCACAGCTGCCTTCTCAAGATCTGAGTTCTGATTCCTCCCCAGGAAGGCCATGTGGCATTAGGAGACCTGTGACCAGCTTCGTGGTCATGGGGGCATAGATGGTCATGCTCAGGAACATCCACAGGTGTGCAAAGCCTTGCACCTTCTTTCCCTCCCAGGAGAAGGGGAGGAGGGAGGATGCTGGGCCCTGTACTCCCCATCAGGTCAGCCTACCACTACCCCTCTGCCCCTGCCCTGCTCCTGCTCCTGGTGTGTGGCTTCCTCTTCCCACCTGTCCTGTGGCCGTGACGGAAGCAGAAGTGAGTCATGGCTGTGCTCATCCAAGTGCCACCCCTGCCTGTTCCCAGGTGGGCCTGCACAGAGAGAAAGGCCCAGAAGTAATGCTGGAGGAAGACAGCGAGAGGAAGGAGACAGACCACCAGCCCTAGGCCCAACCCTTTGTGAGCACACAGCCTCCAGGCCCTGGAGGGCCGGCGTCCACACAGCCGTGCCGTGTGTCCGGTTCAACCCACACTCAGGCCCCTAGGGGAAAAGCAGGGAGTGAGAAGCAGAACTGGGCCAGACTGTTCAGTGTAGTGACAGGAGCAGGTCATATGCCTTGTCTACATCTGGGTCCATCACTCGGAGATGGGGTGACACGGCCCCTCTCAGGATATAGGATTGTGGCATGAGATGTAGGGGGAGAACTGGGTCCACCAATGCGTGTCTGAACCTGGGTCAAAACTGGTCATTCTGAGGCCCCTCAGAGCTCGGTGTTGCAGGGCCTGTCCGTACCCCTGCCTAGCATCGCTCCTGCTGTTCTGCTGCTGTTGGTGGGTTCGCAGGAAGAGAGAGAGGCTAACTTTCCAAAACCCCAGCCCCACTTGGTTCCGACGACCTGCCCTTGGACCTGCACTGTGGAGCTGAGTGGTGCAGACTGAAGGTTGTGTCCCCACCATGCTCTTGGTGAAGTCCTAAGACCCTGTGATGGCAGTTAGAGGGCAAGTCCTGGGACATAGCTAAAGCGACATGAGAGGGCGGCCCTAGGGCAGATCCAACCTCTTTGAGCAGACTAAGGGACCAGAGCTCTCTCTGTCTCTCTGCCCGTGAAGACACAGCGAGAAGGCGGCCATCTTGAGGCAGAAAGAAGATCACATGCTGTAAACTTAACCTGGACTTCTGCCTCCAGACAGGGAGAGACAACCTTCTGTCATTTATGCTGCCACCCCGTCCGTGGTTTTCTGAGTACGACAGGGCATAGATCGCAGGCTCTACCTTCCTGACAGGCACTGGGGTCCTCGAGTCAGAGGCCACCACAAGGAAATAGTTTACCAGCGGTTTTACATTTCACTCATCCACATACATGTATATTATATGTACGTCTATCAGTACTTATATTTCTATTTTCCTCTACGGACCTATGTGTGAGTCTCCGTGTGTGTGTGTGTGTGTGTGTGTGTGTGTGTGTGTGTGTGTGTGTCTCTGTGCGTATTAGGTGGACTCCATGATTTACACTCACTCAGCAGTGTGCATGGGGATGGGATGGGGGTGCCCAGGACCCTGGGCCCCAGGCTCCTCTTTCCAAGGTCCTGACAGCTCTCTTCCTTCCACCCTAGGTGGAGGCCGTCCTTCACCCCCAATTCCTGGCAGAACTGCTCTCCCCA